CTGGGGAGCCCAGCACTGGTCCCAGTGCTCCAGCTGGGGCCTCCCCAGGGCAGAGCAGAGGGGCAGGATGACCTCCCTCCACCTGCTGGCCATGTTCTTCTTGATGCCCCCCAGGATGCCCTTGGCCTTCTTGGCCACCAGGGCCCATTGCTGGCTCCTGGCCATCCTGGTGTTCCCCAGGACTCCCAGGTCTTTCTCCCCACAGCTGCTCTCCAGCAGGTCCCCCCCAACCTGTCCTGGTGCAGGGGGTGATCCCTCCCCAGGAGCAGGACCCTGCACTTGCCTTTATTGGAAGTTCATCATTCCATGTTGGATCAAAACGTCAGTGCTTGACACGGGATATTTAGGGCTCCGTGTTGAAGAGCAGCCCTGGATGCTCCCCCTGGCACGGGGGGACCCGGTGACAGCACCATGGCTGGGCACTGGTGCAGTGTGGGGGTCTCATGGGTGGCCGAGAGGGAGCGACAAGGGCAGGTTCTTCTTGGGGGATCCCAGTTTGCACCCTGGCTGAGTACTGGTGATAATGGGAGACCCAGCATCACCCGTGGCACTGAAGCTGGGCGCTGCCCGCAGGTTGGGGGGCGGTTGGGTCACCCCATAGCAATCCCCCCTGCCTTTCCCCTCCTCTCCATAGCTCCTTTCCGAGGCTGTTTCACATCTTTCCGGGCTTTCTCTCAGCAGCAGGTGACCCTGTTCCTCACCGAGCACTGGGGAGAGATGGAAAAAAAAACCAAACCCTTTCTTTTCTCCTCCCGAGAGCACACACGAACGTTAAAAGCCCAGATGAGTCAGCCAGCCAAGAAAACCCACTTTATCTAAGCGCTTCCACCTACGGTTTAACTTTCTTTTCGATTAAAAGGATGATTATTAAAATATTCTGGCTAAAAGAGGCAACCTCGGGGCTCGGAGATGCTCTCTGGAGGGGGAGCACACGCCGTACCCCTTCCTTTGCTGCCCGGGGGGCACACAGCCACAAGCTGGGACGGTGGCACAGCCGAGGAGCGGGACCAGAAACACCGAAAATGAGGGAAAAGCAGCAGTTTTGCTAGATTTTGTACAGAGGAAGTGGTTTTCTGCCCTTGGCTCGTGCGCTCTTGCCCTGGTGCTCGTGAAAACCACAGTGCAAAACATTGAAATGGGGATAGAAAACAAACAAATAAAGAAATAATTATAAAGTGAACTGGAGGAAGATAATGAGAAGGGGTGGAGGGTGGGGAGCCAGCCGGGAGGAGGAGGAGGAGGAGGAGGACCCCTCCTGGACCAGCCCGACCCGGGGTGGGAGGTTTGGGAAGGACAGTGTGGTGTTGGGGTGAAACCCTGGGGGACACCACGGCAGAGGGTCCGACGGCTGCACCGCCACCAGGGTTGTGTGCAGGAACCAAACCTGGCGTTAAAGGGACAACATTAAGATCACACAAGGTGCCCTGGGTGGGTAGAAGACACCAGGAGGGTGGCACAGCCCCGATCCCCGCCAGCACGACCCCGACACGCAGGGAGGAGCCCAGGGAGTAGGGGTGGGTGCCTCCAGATGGGCTCCCTCTGGGGGGGCTCTCTCCTTGTGGGCTCCCTCCCATGCTCGGGGGGCTTTGGCACCTGGCACAATGGGGACAGGCTGCCCAGTGGGCCATGGGGCCACCATCACTGCAGCCACCAGCCTGTTCCTGGGAGTGGGGAATGCAGAGAGCTGGAATAGACTGGATTCCCTGCGTGACCAATCTGGAATCCAAGAATGGTGTGGGGTTGGCAGGGACCTCT